ATTTATGAAACAATATGAAAGAATTTGATTTTGAAGAAGATTTTATATATTTTATTCTCTTTAGTTCAAACCTTTTAAGCCTTCAGAAGTTAGCCTCACTTTATATCTCTCACGTCACAACGAAAGACGGAAGCTACTCAAGGAATCGATAGTACGTGCAGTATCAAATAAGGATTAGCAAAATATTTATTGTGCTAGGTTATAAAAAATTATTATTCTAATTCAATTGATTTAATAGAGACTACGATTACAATAGTATTACAAATCTTATCAGTCAATTTGATTTAAACGTATAGTACTGCTTGATTTCATAAATACTTTTCATAAGATGTAAACAAGCGTAGAAATTTTGTCTTCCTTAACTTCTTTAAATCTTTGTATTACTATCTTAAAAAGTTTATATCCAAATACTCTATAGTAAAAATGACTTAGTAGTGCTCGACACTTTTATAATTTAGATTTTCCATCCAATATGAATCAAGATGCCCAAGAATATGGTTCATACAACTTGACAAATTGATATTAGATATATCTATCGATCTATTTTTCCTAAATTTAAGAAAGGCATTTGGTACTCCAATTATTTGCAATTTTGCAAGCATCCCACTAATATTCCGTTATTTCTTATCATGCTAGCTAAGGAACAATGCGTGTGTAGATAATGCCACGGTAAGTGCTAAGCATTTTTGGTCGCTAAATAATTCTCTGATAATTGAGATATTTTCGACATCAAATAATTAGTATAACTAATAGAAAAAAATATTACTCAATATGCAATAAAATATTCAGCAACAAATAGCAAGTCTTTAGCATACTATGAATAATTTAGGATACAATTTCAAGTAAAAAATAGGTATACAACTCATATAGGACCTTATATCTCTGCTTGATATAGATAATTTGCACTTAATTCATGCAGTTTGAGCAAGATCTTAGTTTATTTTTTATCACATATGCTGGATATTTAAAGATCAATTCGGGCTAATACATAAATTTCAAGCGACAAATAATACCTGAGACATATAATCGAATGGACCTTTCACGAAGTCGTGCCACATTGATCTGACATATATATTCCGCAGCGTCACTCAATTGAACATCTCGAATTACCAGATCCCATTGCTTTGGCTGGCTGTCGTCTATTTCGTAACGCGGACTAGCTACATCACGCAGAATAGCGATCAATTGTGAGGTATCTGCACGCCACCATGACAACTTAGGGCAAATAAAATTAAAAAAATAATTTATCTCATATTTGTAATTTTATATAGATATAAAGTCAAAGAATTTGAGGCCTCCGTTTTGATCAGAGTCTCCTT